CTTCACATTGAGATAAAAAAAAATATTTTCCCCAGTGACACGATCTCCAGTATGGACGGAAGAAGATGAGATCGTTAAATTCACGAGACCATAAATTCTGTAAGCTGATGACAGCATGTAATTAGTAAACTCAAAAGTCAAAGCACCTTTAACTAATCTGTAGCGAAAACTACTTTATGAGGCATTTTTCTACACCCATGTACCGTAAGTTTCTCATATTTAAAAAAAACTTAAATTAGGCTTAGTTTTTTAAGAAAACTTAGTGATCTTAACGAATGTCCTCATATTCAGATAAAAAAATATTTATTTTCCCCACTGACACGATCTCCAATAACTACAAAAAAAGATAACTAAACGATAACTTCTTGAGAACATTGAAGCTGCACTCTAATATCGGCATGTAATTGGTAAATTGAAAAGTGAAGGCACCTTTAACTAATCTGCTGCGATGGCTACTTTATGAGGCATTTTTCTACACCCATGTACCGTAAGCGAGATCGTTAAATTCTCGAGAACATAAAACCTGTACTCCAATGACAGCATGTAATTAATAAACTCAAAAGTAAGGGCACCTTCAACTAATCTGCAGCGAAAGCTACTTTATGCGACATTTTCCTGCACCCGTGCATCATAATTCTCTCAGAAATTTAAGAAGAAAAACTTAGTTTATCTGATCATCTTAATGAATATCTTCCTATTAAGAATGAGAAAAATACTTCTTTTCCCCACTGACACCATCTCCAATAACTACAAAAAAAAAATAAAGGAAACTAAACGATAACTTCTTGAGAATATTGAAACTGTACTCTAATATCGGCATGCAATTGGTAAATTGAAAAGTGCAGGCACCTTTAATTAATCTGCTGCGATAGCTATTTTATGAGGCATTTTTCTACACCCATGTACCGTAAGCGAGATCGTTAAATTCACGAGAACATAAAATCTGTACGCCAATGACAGCATGTAATTAATAAACTCAAAAGTAAGGGCACCTTCAACTAATCTGCAGCGAAAGCTACTTTATGAGACATTTTCCTGCACCCGTGCATCATAATTCTCTCAGAAATTTAAAAAGAAAAACTTAGATTATCTGATCATCTTAATGAATATCTTCCTATAAAGAATGAGAAAAATACTTCTTTTCCCCACTGACACGATCTCCAATAACAATAAAAGAAGATGAGGTCGATAACTTGTTGCGAACATATAGTTCACGGAAGCTGTGCGCTAATATCAGCTCGCAATTAGTGAATTCGAAAGTAAGCGCAGTAACCCACCTTTAACATGCACGCGGAAAAATTGGTGCCAATCTGATTTAGTGATCTGATAGGATGCGCCCTCAAGGATGCATCGCAATTAATGATAGTGATTTTCTTTTATTTATTTTGAGCCATACAAAACTGTTTAACAGTAACGGTAATTATAGTTTTGCTAAGACTGACTGTTTTTTGTATGCTGCTATAGGTAGATTATTTTGTTGTGTGCGTTAACAAAACGAAATGCACAGAAATTTCAGCATGTTTATTCATACTCTGAGAAAAAATTGTTGTAATTTTGTCATGACGCTTTGGAAAATGACATAAAAATCATTTATTTAGTTATATTTACTTTTCAGTTTTGCATTCTTTGCTAAATGTGTGGCAATAAGAACTATAATTTTAAAAACTAGAATTTTAGGTAAACAGTTACTGTAGGACCAAAAAAGTTACCATATGAATGGTTTGAATACCCTTATATTTTAGTTTATGATTTTTTTATTATGTTTTTTTTTTTAACTCTGTGTTTTTTTTCTTACTAAGAGTGTCACAATACGGTAATTTTACCAGAATTTTCTTTTCTCCTCATATAAATATAGAATTTATAAATTGGTTATTTAGATCAAGTATAGGGCCAATTCTTTGCAATATGCAAAATGTTGAAAATCAATAATCAATTTAATTATAGATAATAAGCTAAATGAATTACTTTTCATGGATGAAACCAAATACGAAAAATATTTTAAAAAAGTGGTTATTTAAAAGGTTAATATATGATTAAAAAAGCAATATTTATTTATTATTTTTACATTTCGACATATTTCTCCCATGCGAGTTAAAGAAAAATTTTTCCTCCCAAATTTGCCAAAACAGTAGCCATAAAAGGGATACCATATATTGCTGAACCAATTGTGTGATATCTTATGAATTACGCGTAGTTAAACGATGGACATAGAATTACAATAAGAGAAAAATACTCCGACAATCCTTGGTAAGTTCTTTAGATTTATGTTTGCTTTCAACTTGATTTGACAGCTTGTTGTAATTTACATAAACATGACAGCCATGTTTTTAGAGATAAAATTGTACGTCTCCCTTCGGCCGTGTTTTATATCTCTGGTTTGAATTCTCTGAGTCGATGACGCAACATAGAGAAAGGAAAGTTTTGCACCTACTCATTGAAGTGAGAGCGCCATAACGAACTGGCATCATTTTCACCTTTGCATCTCTAGTAACTTGATAACCAATCGGTCATTTGTTCGTGTGATTCTTCCGATATGCATCATCTCCTCCTAAATCGACCGCATTCCATCTGTTTTTCTTTTTCCTTTACATTCATTTTCAGCTTGAGTTGTGTAATTTTGGGCAACATACAAATCACTTGGATCAAATGACAGGAAAGCTTGTTAAAGAGTTTTGTTTAAGGTATCCGAATACCTTCGGAGACGGAATTTTGAAATTTTTTATATAGATTTATGTGTGTGTCATGAATAGGGTATGAAAAAAAAATAGAAAAATAATTCTACAAAAAATATATGGGGGAAAACTAGCAACAAAAAAGATCACCTAACTTTGCTAAAGTTTATTATTTTTCTGCATTATTCTTGTTTTTATAATACTCATAAAAATTCAAATGAAGAAATTAACTAAGCATTAGACATAATATTAATATTTCGATGTTTCATAGCAAATACAGAAATTTATTTGGTAGAAATCGTTAAAATAGTGCAATTAATAATTATTTTAGCTGTATAATATAAAATAATAGTTTAAACTGCCTGCTCCGCCCCGGCAGTCCATTCCCTAGACATATGTATCGAAAAACTCGTGCTAAATTTGAACTAAAATGTATTTGGATGTAACATTTGGAATGAAGGAAAATAACCGAAAATTTAGTTTTGAAAAAATGACGAAAAAAGAGCATAGTTATCATTGTAACAAATAAAATAGATGTTTTTTTTTAAAAAATAGTCATAATTTTTGTTCTATTTGACGTAGAAACAAAACTCAAACGGTTTTTGAAAGGAAAAAGTCTATAGTTTTATTTTAAATGAAAGCGGAAAAAATTATATTTACGTCAAAATTGTCATAGAAAAGGTAATCGGTTACCTTAAAAAAAGATTAATGACTATTATTATACTGTTAGTTCAGTTGGCGTGCATGGTTCTAATAGTTATTTTTGAATAGTTCCTTAATTCTGGACATATTTGGTTAATAGTTTTTATTTCTATTGGCGGTTTTAGAACGAGTTTTTAGTTTTTTCTTGAAAATTTTGTATTTTTGTACTATTTCATCTTAATTAAATTCTACCTCATCAGTTTCCTTTTTCTTCACCTAATATCATTCATAAATATAATTTTGAAAAAGCACTTTTTGTAAGAAAAAAAAACGCTTATAAAAGTGTATAAAGCTTATTGTTGTCCTTCAAATTCGAATAGGCAATAGTGGAGAAACACGTGGAGAAACTTTTAATTTTATATTTTTTAATCTCTTAATTTTTTTTACTTATTTACTAAGTTAAGACTATAATAAAATAATTTTACAATAATAAAGTAGAATTTAAGGTAAATATAATAGTTAAAAAATATCATCATTAGTTTCAACGCCCATGATTAAATTTGTCATAGTATCGAAACGGCTGCCTGGCTTTTTAAACTGTTTTATATGCTGTTTCCAACTAAATCATTATTTTTTATTTCAGCTTTCTGACGTAGATTTGCTTGAATCTTTTTTGTAGTCTGCTTATGTTTTGTAAACATAATTTGAGGCATATATCACTGAGATCACATAATATAGTTGTAAGCCTTTATTCATCGAATAGTACTATAAAATAAACTATAAAACAAAACTTAATTGATATCACTGAAAATATCCACGTGATTTTAAGATCATCACGAAACCATGACCAAACATCCAGTCTCATTTTTAGAGCTCTAACTTTTAACAGCCATATGAGGAATACCACGTAATTTTGAACCTGGTCAGACGAAATGTACCTGAGCTGATACCCCTCTCCAGACAACACCTTTTGTAAATACACATTTGCTGCATATACACGTCGGTTGTTTTGTCGGCTTTCAGGATCGAACTCACTACCCCAACTGTCCAACAGTGGTGTGATCGATACCTTAACCGACAGCGCTATTGGAGCGTTCACGCACTTGAACAAATGATGGATTTTAAAACTACTACTTTTAAGATTATTTTTATATTTGAGCATTGGAAAGTTCTTATTTTATTTTATTTTATAACTGGAGATGAATAACCGAACCAAGGAAAACTCTTATTCTCGTTTTCATTCAATTAAGTCAATGCTTCGAAATCTTTGACTAAATAATTATTTTATAACTGAAACTCTTTAAGATTTTTAATCGCATTTTAAAAAACAGTATTTCTTTAACACTAGTAAAAATGCTGTTATTTCAAATTTTATTAAACTTTTTTGTTTTAAACTTGTAGTATTTGGAAAAATGTGCGCCAATTCATAGCATGTTTTCGACATTTATTATCCGATTTCTTGAAAAATTATTTATTGAAATGCTGAAATTTGCCTGTTTAGATATTTGTTAAAAAATTGTACTTTTATGGATTTCTTCTTTTAAATTTCTGGATCAGAAACATTTAAGTTAAAATATGTATAGCGCAGTATAGTCGATATACTTGTCAAATGTTCTTAAAAGGAAAAGGTATAATCGAAATAAATTGTAGAAATCAATATAAAAATCAAAATAGTTTGAAGCTTACCTGTGAGCAAGAATCCTAACTGTTTCTAATAGAATTTCTGCTGGTATGGAAACTTGGTTAGCTTTAGGATAAACCGAGGATAACTCTTTTACTTCATATGGCACTTCTTCACCTGAAACAAAAACATTCAAATATAATTACGTTATACTGCGAGAAATCGGTTCAAAATTTATCTATAGCTTGGCCTAAATTTTGTGAATCCACAAGAAGGTCTCAAGGTGAGTTAGATTTTGATTCAAATTGAGACGAGGAACTGCGTAATGTATTATGAGACGCATTTATTTAAATAGGGCTTAACTAAAGTTTATACCGTCCGAGTTCTTGAATCCGGGGACTTGGAGGAACTTTGTGGTCCAAGAAATTGGAGTATTCGTTGACACTAGAACCTTGAATGCCACTGATTGGTCTGATGAAAAGTTTGCGCATGTGCATTGTTCATATTTAAGATTATAAAAATGATATTTACATGAAGGCACAATTACAAAATCAAATCAAATTATGAAATGGATCTTAATAGATCAATTATTTAAGTTAGAATATATGAAAACGGACAACAAAATGAAATGATCATATGACAGTTCACTGACGTCAAGTAACTTTAGAAGCTGATTAATTTTGGGAAGGCAACAACTTGGATGGAAAGTTGAACATGTTCTGCTATCATCCAAGGGCTTGGACCAAGAACTTAGCATCGTTTATACAATCCAGGCTCCAAGCAAAACGAGTTTCTATCAATTTCAAACAATCTTAGTCTAAGAATTTGGATATTATAAACTGGCACAAGGGATCAACAACTATTTCCTCTTGCTAACTAACTAACTAACTCCCCGGCATTACAGTCCAAGTTGGACCATGGCCTCACTAACAATTTTTCTCCAAAGACCCCTGTCTCTAGCTCTTTGTTTCCAGTTTTGGATCTTTAGAATCTTAAGGTCTTTCTCCACCTTGTCTAACCATCTCTTGGCTGGCCTTCCTTTTTTCCTTTGGCCTGCCCCTTGAATATTTTCTTAGTGCCTCTGTTTTCCTCCATTCTCTCAAGGTGTCCTAGGCATTTAATTCTCTTTGCTTTTACATAATTGATTATACCTTTTTCTTTAAATAGTCTTGAAATTTCGAAATTGCATCGTCTTCTCCACAGATCACCCCCTTTAACAGGTCCAAAAATAGTTCTAAGAATTTTTCTTTCTCAGTTAATCAGCATTTTTTCTTGTTTCTGGGTTGGATTCCATGTCTCTGATCCACAGAAAACGGTTGTTCCGATTATAGCATTGTAAACCTGAATCTTTGTTTTCCTCGTTATTACTTTTGTTGTTAGCAATCTCTTAAGTGCAAAAAAACTGCGATTTCCAGCATTTAGTCATATATTTCTCCTTGCTATAAATATAAATTGACATTGTGAAAAATAAGAATTCTATCGTCAGTGAAACCCGTCTAGTTTCAGATCAAGGGATACCAGTCTGTCTGAGAAGATTGACAAAGCGAGGGCGATTCTCAGCGAATTTTCAACACCATGAAGTCGAGCTCGAAATGGTGGAGCTTTAACATCCATAGACCCCTAGCCCACAGTTCTGTAAATTTTTTTTAATATAAAATATTACAATGATTTCAATCTTGTAATTATAGACGGAGAAAGTAATTCTGTTAAAATTACTGTTCTGCATGGTAATGGCATTTCAGTAAAAAAAAAAAGTAAATTTTGCGGAATAAATAGTTTTATGACATGCTTTACGAAATCATGATAAAATTACCGAATTTCGCTATATTTACACGCATTAGAACACTATATTTTGTGGTTAATTTCACCAAAATTCCGGTAGTTTATTTCATACTTTTTTCTCAGTATAGATAAATAAAATAGAAAAATAATAAAAAATAAATAAAAATAGAAGTAGAGAACTTAAAAAAAGTTATTTCATAAAAATGTCTTTCATGTTTTGGGAAGAAAGTGGCTAATGATTTTAAAATTTCATTTCAGTTATTAGAATGTAATAATTTGAATTTATTCGATTCGTCATAGAACCAATGAAGAAAAAAGAAATGAGAACGAAAATTAGGCTTTTTTTGGCTAAAGAGAATGATTATGCGGATAAAATATTTATGTTTTATCTCTAAATCTGCCAACAAGTTTATCAGCTCTTTATAAGTGAATTAAGAGAAGATTTCAAAATTTTAAAAGCATTTAAAATATTACTTCGCAGTCAGTTGTGTTATCTAGTTATTGAATTTTTGTTTCAAGTTAGCTTTGTACGTACTATTCTTCTGCATTTGTCTTACTTTTATTCTTCTGTATTTGTTTTATGTATTTTATATTATGTATTATATTCTTTTCTTGGACTTTGGCAAAACCTTTGGGGTTCAGAGAGAGCAATTTTAGATTTTTGTCGTGCTCTCTTGATAGAAAAGGTTTTGCTTTTATGACTTCTGCAGATGGTACCCCCTGAAGAAGTCAGCTTTGGTTGTCATATTTATCAATTTTTTCATATTTCCTGTTTCTCTTTATAAGTGAACATTCTTCGGCTTGTTTTAATAAGATTGGTTTAAACCAAATTGTTTTTTTAGTGGTCTAGGGGTTCTGATTTCATTAAGAATACATTAATCTGCAAATTTATTTCACTTTCTGTATCATATCTATTATTTAACTTTTTTATCGGAGTTTTTTTTATCGAATTTTTTTTATCGGAGTTGAGAGAAGCACAAACATTATTTAAATACGAACATTTCTGTGAAATAATGTAAGGAACTTTTAAACTTTAATTCTCCTTAGGACTGAAATTTGAAGGAAAAACGATTTAAAAATAAAAATCATAAAAACAATATAAATCACTTGAAACAAATTTAAATAGGCAGTCACATATAGTTTTTTTTAAAAACCACACTGGCCAAAAGAAATAAAAAAATAAAAAAATTCTTTTTCAAACTAAAAAAATTTTTTCCCCGGTTTTTTATATGAAAAAATTATTTTGGCTTCCAAGAAAATATAAGATATTTCCCAATATTCAAGTGCTAGTATGAATTTTGAGCAACTTGCTATACTCAAACCAATTACCAAGACTTAACTTAGGTTTTTTAGAAGTCGAGTAATCTTAAGTGCCAGGTGAAAAAATGTTATTGAGAAAAATAGATTTCAAGACAAAACTTTGAAAAAATAACTTTTAACAAAAAAAGAAAGGAAAAAAAATAGTGCGTGGAGTCCCTCCGCACGGAAGAAGTTAAACTTTGTAACCTGCTACGTTAATTGTAGAAGAATCAGCAGTCGTAGAAGGATCACTAGTTCTATTCAACGACTCTTTTTCCTGCTCCGCTCGTTTCCGTGCTCTGTAATAGCGGTAATATTGTGCATTTTTCCCTCGTGGATCTCTTGAACCAGTGGAAGTGCTTGTGGTTGCCTCATCGTCTCACCATGGAAAATGTATTTGCATTAATAATGTATGTGAATGCGTCATAATGTAATTTCAAAAGAGAAAACCTAACAATCAATTGATATTCACAAGAGACGTACATTGACGTAACCTTAAATCCTTCGCATTGTCCGTGGGATTGTTTTCACTTAAGGCTCTTATACTATCAGAGCTGACCTATCAAGCAATATTGGAGTAAAAAAGTTCACAAGTTAACGTTAAGTTAGTATTGTGCTTATGTTAGCTCTTTGGAGCAAAAATAGATGATGAGTCGGCCTGTCTAATTCAGGGGCTCTATTTTCACTCATTTTTTACAATTGTTATCCACTAAATTTGAAAATAAAGAATACTATCCTATTAAATTATATGTGTATCAAATCAAACTAAAAAAATATTTATAGAAAAGCAATACTATTATTATTTTTGTGCTAGTGAGAACCAAAACAATATGGAAATGAATGAGGGATAACTGGATCCTACCACGTGATTTCCCGGCCAATAAAAATGTAGCGTTAAACGTTTAACGCAACCTTGTTGGAAGTCGCATAAGAAGTATAACTTCAAAAACTGAGTTTGTAGATTATTCCAATTAGGAAATAAAGAGTGTTGTTTTTCTGATTCCAGTGAGTCGGTTTTCTGAGTATTGCAATTGTTAACCGAAAATGATGATTAGATTTAATTTATTTCTCAATAGCAGCAATGAATCTAAGTTACTACAAAAAACTTTTTCAAATTTTTAAATGCAATAGCTTTTATTTTTGGTGCAATAAACTCTCATTGTTAAGAAATAAAAATGATTATGTAGGAATTGCAGGGATTGATGAGAAAACCTCTCTACTTATTTAATATAAATATGTAACCGATATGATTGTACTTTTTTTTAAATTTTTCTCTAATTCAATAATTTTATTTCATTTACTATCATGCTACGATTTATGCATTTAACTCTGCACTTGTCAAAAGAAACTAAATTGATTTTTGACTAAAAGTATCACAGAACTGCGAATCTAGGTAGGTAAGTACTTTATTTACATCACACTAGAGCTGCACAGTGGGTAATTGGCAATGGTTTGACCACTCATTTATAAGGCCACATCTACAATTTTGGCATAGATCTGAAGGAGAAGGAAATTTCCTCCAGATCCCTATACCCATGGTACTGTTCAGCGATCAATCACAGGACCTTATTTTAATCAATTTTAATACGTTTTATTCAATTACAGAACAGATTCTACGAGCACGTTTGCCGTATGTACTCGGTGGCTATAAGCGGAGTCGAAGATCGAATCCAGGTCTCGTTGGACCAAAGTTCGATTCTCTAACCCTGAGCTACAAGCTGAGCGCTGCTGTAAATGTAATGAACTTATATTACTTTCTAAGAATTTGTTTCCTATTGTGAGAAATTAATGCTATAATTTTAAAAATAAGTTCATACAGCTTTGGTTAAAAACATTTATATTTTTTACATCATAAAATTGTGTTCAACTAAGTTAAAAATAGGTTAAATTACAAATAAATTTATTGTTCAACTGGCCACAATTTGGCGCCAGAAACCACTGGTTCATTTCTGTTTTCGCTTTAAAATTTGCATTTTTCGATTAAGTGATAAAGCGTGATACATTTCACTTAGATACGGTTTTCTTTTTTTAAATTTAAGAAAAAAACTTTTTTTTGCTCCATTTACGAAAATTGCTGGAAGTAAAACACGATTCAT